CATTTAGGTGAAAAGAAAATGTTTGATTCATGGATGTGCTTCCACAAATTAGTCATTTTACCTTTTTGCGATGTCCTCGTTTCAGCCTGTCTACAGTGCTTTAAAGCTCCATTTGTAAACTAAACAGACCCGTAGATGATGTCTTGAATTAAAGGAAACCCACATAGTGTAATAAACTGTAGGGTATCACTAAGGAATATTTTGTGTGTCAGTTAATCTGTTCTGTAATCATTTAGTCTATTAGTATCACATTCTGTTCAATTTCAAATTTATTTTGACATATAATAGAATAACTTGTTCAATTAGTCATGTATTCATATCCATGGAATTTAGAGAGAAGTGAATCCACAGCCATTGTGGAAAATAAAATCAAAACATGTTGACATGAAGTTGCCCTTCTTGTGTTTACAGTAAACATCTGAAAATCCAAGAAACAAGAAGAGGTCAAAAGTGTCATCTTCTACTTTACACACTTACTTCTTGTCTGAATGTTTACTAAATATAAATGCCCTGCACACCAGCACAGGCATTTCCAGTTATACTGAGAGAGTAGATCTGTGCTCATTATACAGTATATCTCACAACACCAAAATTAATAAACAAAATAAACTTCTAAGTAGTGGTCAACCGGTAGGGGTTTATCAGTGGCTGATGCAGATATTTAGAGAGCAGGGCGAGAGATAATATACATCAGGAATGCAAACTTACTAATCACGGATGAAAAAGGTTACAAAGACTTGCAGTCCCCACCCACCGCCTGAACTCCACTTGCTTAGCCTTTTCAAATGTTATCAACCTAATGGATCAAATTTTGATAGTGAAACCAGTCAGCGGGGGTTTGTCCACCGTTTTACTTGTTTTGCTGCTAGTAAAAATTGGCAATGCTACCACGCGTTGCAGAGACGTGTGGTTACATTTTTGGGGAGGTACGCTTAGCCGAGCAGGCAACGATGGATGTGGATTTGACGCAAATGTATAATTCAGGCTTAAGACAGTCAATCTAACGTTTAGAAAAGATGATGGTGACTGAGGAACTTTATGGCTCTAAACTAACTTTTTCACCACCTTACCAAAACTCCCAAAGGGGGCAAGCTAACGTCGTTCTATAGCAGCCCCACTGAAGAGGCTTCCTGCAGATGTGTCCGCAGACATTTTTTGTTTATCGGCCTTGTGAGTGCTGGCATTCGGTTGATGCTGATTATCTCAAAATATCAGATACCGGCCCGATTAATCAGTATATCACTAATACAGTGGCTGAAAACCAAACCAACATGGATGCCTCTCATCAGTCCATCTTTCAATGTTATTAAACTCTACATTTAATGAGTACAGTGCTACATTGTCTATACACCGAACTGTAACCACATGAATGCCCTGCGCTGTCTTGCAATGTGAATGCTTGCAAGTCATAAACATCAGGTTAAAGTTGGATCTATTCAGGGAATTGCAGGACGTTAGGTAACGTCATGTACTACTATGATAGAGGTGTAAGTTTGTTGTACTGTGCTGTAACAGGAGAGTGAGGGAGATGTCGGCCTGTACAGTCTTCAGAAGAGGTCTATTTAGGCACACTACGTGAAAACACCTGTGTAGGTGGACCATGGGTGTGGGGGGCTTTAAGGATAGGTTCTCCTTTTTGAAATTGGTCTTAAAATAATACCTAAGGGTATATATATACATAAAAAGGGTTATTGGTCGGTGTAATTGTTCCTCCTGCCCACATTGGCCACAAAAAACGCATTTCTTATTTTTTGACAAACGTGGTAAGTGAAACAACAAATTACAACCTAGAAGAACCTAAAATACTTGTATAGGTAATTGTAGTGTGCTGACATAATTAGCACAAAACAAAAAAAGCAAAGTGGCCAAAATGATGTGGCTCCAGCTTGTGTGGGATGTCTTTGCAAAAATGATTCTGAAGTTTCCTTGCTGAGCTGCAGAGGAGAGAGAGCAACACAGAGGGGTTCTTCAAATCAAGACTGAACATATCCACAAAATTTTTCCAGCTCAGACTGCTGAAACCTCCTGTTAACTGAACTTTAGCACAGAATGAGGACTGTGGATCCAAATACACGTGTGGAGGGGATATTTTTAAAGCCAGTGTGAACAAGAGGAACAGCTACAGTGACTATCAATGCTTTTAATGTACAAAACAGGTGAACCTACCCTTTAAAAGGATGGTAGCTTTTGCAAAACTAATTGTGTTGTAGAGCATCACATTGTCAGGTCTAGTGTCCTTTCCAAAAACCAATCCAATCGCTGCTAAAAAATATTGTGTGCTGTATTTATGGGGATGTAGATTTATTCATAACGCCTCGCCAGATTAAACTATAATTCCACGGTATTTTAATGTGATTAAAATGTAATGTTTAATGTAAGTGATGCATCGTTTTGCCAAGACACGTACTAGGAATTTTAAAAAGCCAAATGAGTGGCTGCTACGCGACTCATACGTGCAGATGACTTTCTGTTAAAACACGACAAGTTGTCTAGTTACCTGCCACAGGTGTGAATGGTTTATCAAGAGTGTTGTAGCAGCAATGCAGTTTGATTCGACCAACCGGAGGGGGGGGGGGATCGCAAAATTGTGTTTAAAAAAAAATCTTTTACAAGGAGGGTTATTGTTTGAGTACAGTTCGTGTTGGTAAACCTCACGTACAGTAGACACAGCCGTTAAACTTCGGCGACGGTACGACAAAACGGACTGCTGAAGTGTTTACCGGACTGCTAAAAGACACGGCACCAGGCTAACACGGTTTCTACCTTCTCATTCTTCGGTTTCACTGTGAAGTAAGTCGGTACAAACTTACCTTAAAACTTTGCTATATTGTTCGGGGACGCTTCCTCCTGAGTGATCACACCCACTGACGCCGTCACAACTTCCTGGCCTCCCATTGGCTGAGCGGAAATCAAAGAATGCTCTGATTGGTGAAAATCTACATGCCGCTAGGACAAAATGTCATGACAGGAAGGAAGTGGTTGGGGTTTTTTTTAATGTAGGTCAAAACATTTCAGCTACATATCCTATAAAATGAACATTTCCCTTCCCGGTTCCTTACCACTGAAAGATAATAATTAATATAAGGGTAAAACTGATGAGACTTAAAAACAATTAAATAAAGGAAGTGGTTAAAATCAATGACTGGAATTGGGTGAAATCAGTGGTACTGTAATTTATGGCAACACAAAACTGTCCATTTTAACGACTAAATCGATTTTATCCACTTTGCTGTGATAGACCTACATGCTTCTGTTTCTGCAGAGTATTGGTCCTCACTGTTTTTATATAAACTGTTTGTATTCATCTTAACAGGCGGCTGTAAACAAGCTTCTGAAAAAACATACAAAATGTAAAGCAGGTTAGATCATATAATTAAATTAATAACTGAGGTCATTCAGCAAGAAAAAATGCCAGAAAAGCTGCTGGTTCCAACTTGTCAGACGAGAGGGTTTTTCCCTCTGTTTTATATCATTATAAAATAAATAGTCAGAAAAAAACAAGCAACTTTTAAGATGGCACTTTTGAAGCCTTTGTAAACACATTACAGTATGCAGTTAATTAAGACTCTTCAGCTGATCCTGAATGCTGCAGCACCTGTTCTGACAGGAACCAGGAAGAGAGATCATATTTCTCCTGTCTTAGCTTCTCTGCACTGGCTTCCTGTAAAATCCTGAAATAAAATTTAAAATCCTACTTCTCACCTACAAAGCTCTTAATGGTCAGGCACCATCCTATCTTAAAGCGCTCAAAGTACCTTACTACCCCACCAGAGCACTGCGCTCCCAGAATGCAGGGTTACTTGTGGTTCCTATAGTCTCCAAAAGCAGAATGGGAGCCAGAGCGTTCAGCTATCAAGCTCTTCTCTTGTGGAACCAGGTTCCAGTTTGGGTTCAGGAGGCAGACACCATCTCCACATTTAAGAGTAGGCTTAAGACTTTCCTTTTTGATAAAGTTTATTGTAGGGCTGGCTCAGGTGAGTCCTGAACCATCCCTTAGTTATGCTGCTATGGGCCTAGACTGCCAGGAGATTTCCATGATGCCTTGAGCTCCTCTCTCCTCTACTTTCTCTCCCTCTGTATGCAACCTCATCCCATTAATGCATGTACTGAAGTAAGGGATACACTTTTGAATAAAATAGGCTTTTTTAAATCTCCTTAAAATGAAATAATTTGTATAGTTGTGCATCTCTTTGATCATAAGAATAATTTCACCACTGTCTGACATAAATCAAAACATATGCCTTACCTTCAATGTAAAAGTTATCTTCCAGTTTATACTCCATGATCTTGGAACCAGAGGGTGTTTTTTTTTTTCAAGCATGTGCAAAGACTATTTACACACAGCAAACCAAACTGTTTCATCATGTTTCCATTAGCAGCTGGACAGAGCTGAAGTTAAGAAACAAATTTGTGTTCATTTCCTTGTCTTCCAAGATGGTTATCTGACTACACTTTGATTACAATTTAAATGTTAGACAAGAATCACAAAGACTGTTCTACTACTGCTTTTGTTTCAATAAAATGGGTGCCCCCCGTCTGATCTGAGAGAGGAAAGAGCGGTCTCATCCCATCTACTTGTCTTCTCACACTCACACACACAGGATTGCAACTGCAATAACATACCAGTGCCCATTGTTCAGTTTGTCATTTTCTAAATGAACATGCATTAAAAGGGAGCAATCTAATGTTACTGAAAAACCTCAGCAAACCGTTACAGGACTGAGAATTTGCAAATGGTATGACTGAACAATATTAAAACTTATTGAATTCAACTTCTTCTGTTTAGCCTTCCAAGAGTAACTGGTGCTCATGCAATAATCAAGGGTTGGCGGTTCAATCCCCAGCTCCATCTGTTCACATATCAAAGTGTGCTACACTGACCTCAAATATTTGTGAATATGTTTGTGGTATGTTCTGTTCTCAGGTTGAAATTTAAAATTATATGATGAATGAACTCAAACACTTCAGGAAGATGAAACAAAGAGGTCATGAAACCCACAAGATAGATAAATATTTTTATTCATAGTACACAAAAGAGAAATCATAAAATGTTCTGCAGGCAGGGCTGTCAGCAGAATCAGAGGAACTTTTGTGGTTGACATGTTTGACAAATTTGAGGGTTTCTTTGTCTCTGTAGACGAGGGCAAGGGAATTGTCCTCTGGATACACGGTCAGAAGCTGCAGAGGAGGAAACCAAAGCAATTATGGTAATCACTCAAGTATGGAACACACATTGTACACAATTACACTTTGTACTGTGATCAACACTCACCTCCTCATCCTCTTCATTAGCAACATAACACGTGAAGCCCCCAAACTCTGACTGCCAGTCTATGAAAGACAAGTTTGTTACAGTCACAGTATTGATTGAGAATTTGTTGTGTGTGTGTGTGTGTGTGCGCGCATCCATGTATGTCGACTCACCCTTACAGCCAAAAGGCAAAACAAGGTCCAAAGCATACTCTGCTTGTGCCGCCTCTGCATCATGCAACAGAGTGTAGCCACCATGAGACCATCGACGCAGTTCACCACAACACACAGGTGTGCTCAGTTCTGAGGACCAAACAAAGGTTAACACACACACACACACACACGTGGCTGAAAAGACAGACTCACTCTGACACGCACCCTTCTCTCTGCTTGTATTCGCTGATGGTGACTCGGACGAAGAACCCGTGGCTTCTCCGCCCCGGACGTCCTCTTTCTCTTCATCTTTACTCTCATCGTCGTCATCAGCAGCACACAGGTAGTGCAATCGAAGGCCAGTGAAGTTAGAGAGAAGCAGGAAGAAAGCCTCTGAACGAAGCAGTTCCCAACATGCGCTCACACACTGTGGTAGGGTGTCCAGAGAAGCCACTTCATGGCATCTAAATGAATAAAAAGCGCATGTCTTATAAATCGCACAAAAAAGTTAAATGACAAACAAGTGAAATGATCTGTGAAACATGCCCTACCTCTTGTTGGGCGGACCTCTCTTAGTCCACTGAATTTGAGTGAGTCTCAGTGCTTCACTCACCTCCAGGTACTTCTCCTCCTGAGGACAGACACCTAATCAGCCAACAGGAATGAGTGGACACGTGCAAGACAGAAAAGGTGCTAGGCAAGAAGTTACCTTGAGAAAATCTTTGAGCTGAATTTCAGAGCTGTCCTCAAACTCCTCCTGAATCTGCTCTTGATAGGATATGTCCAGGTAGACTGGACTGACCCACTCCAGCAGCAACGTTTCCTGTGATGAGCATTGCAAACACATGTCAGCAGGAATGCAGGTTGTCTGTCAAAGGAATAGTTTGACATTTTGGGGAACACACTTATTTATTTTCTTGCTGAGAGTTACAGTAGATGAGAAGATGATTGATACCACACTTGCATCTGTCTGCAAAATATGAAATTGAAGCTTAGCTTAGGTCCTATTCAGGAAGTCACTGCACTTGGCCAAGAAATAATCTAAACTCCAGTAAAACTGAAACATGTTGTTTATACCCTTCGGTTTTTGTACAGATTAAACAAACAAGGTATAATTTGTTGATTATTGAGTTTTAGAGGTGCTGGAATGTGGATTTTGTTATATTTTGACAGGCCCAGGCTAGCCATTTCCTTTTGCTTCCAGTCATTATGCTAAGCTAAGCTAAGCAGCTGCCATCTGAAGATTCCTATTGAATAGCCTGACTGTTGAAAGGAAAGTGTATCTTCCAACTATTCCTATAAAGATAAAGATAGAAGTAAATAAAACTGTATTCATCTTAGTGCACCTTTGACCAAACTCACATCTCTCGGTAAGTGTGGGCACCGTGGGATGGGGGCTTCTATGTGGCGAGGAGGACGCTCTAAAGATGGTCCGTGAAACCAGCCGCTCAGAGACAGACGACACTTGTCCTCTGTCAAAACCTCGGACACCTGGACAAACACAACACATGCTATTGATCTGCAACCAGAGCCGCTTTTTTGGTGCAACAGTGACGAAAAGGGAGGAGTGTCGATTCTTACTTGGTGAAAGGAGACGGGCGAAACTTCAAACAGGACAAGAGTGTTCAAAGAGGGTACGAGTGACTTCACAATACTCTGTGGTTGGAAATTACCTGAAGGCAAAAGATGAAGATTGCACAAGACTTTGGTTGTCTGAAAGCACAGAAATACACAGACAAAGTGGCAAACTCACTGTCTGTTGAGTAAAGATCGAGGGTTCCGCCATCGCTGCTCTGCCACGGAGGCACGAGATACAAGATGAAAGCAACGCGCCTCCCCTCCAATTCATCATCGTGACACAAAAGAACATCTAGAAACAGAGAGAATGTTATTACAACCCCGTTTCCTAAAAGGTTGGCACGCTGTGTAGAATGTAAATCAAAATGAAATGTGATTTCATTCACATTCTTGTTTGATGTAGGGGATGTTCAGCTGCATATTTTGCGTTTTGTAATGCGGCAAACATTTTCAATGGGTGACAAATTGGGAATGGCACCCGGAATCTTTTCCTACTCAGCCATGCTGCTGTAATGCATACAGAATGTGGTTTGGCATTGTCTTGCTGAAATAAGCAGGGCCGTCCCTGAAAAGGACGTTGTCTACTTGGCAGCATATGTTGCTCCAAACCCTGTATATGTAGTTCAGCATTAATGGTGCCTTCACAAATGTGCAGGTTACCCATGCCATGTGCACTAATGCACCCCCGTACCATCATGGATGCTGGCTTTCACACTGTGCATAACAAGCCGGATGGTCCCTCTCCTCTTTTAGCCTGGAGGTTGTACCGTCCTCACGCACGGTCATCTAGTATTGGTTTTAGCATAATTTCAACAAGATGTTGGAAACATTCCTCAGAGACTTTGGTCCATATTGACATGATAGCATCAAGCAGTCGCTGCAGTTTGTCAGCTGCACATCCATGATGCAAATCTCCCGTTCCACCACATCCCAAAGGTGCTCTATTGGATTGAGATCTGGTGACTGTGGAGGCCATTGGAGTACAGTGAACTCATTGTCATGTTGTCAAGAAACCAGTTTGAGATGATTTGAGCTTGGTGTATTATCCTGCTGGAAGTAGCCATCACAAGATGGGTACACTGGGGTCATAAAGGGATGGACATGGTCAGCAACAATAATCAGGTAGGCTGTCTTGTTTAAACGATGCTCAGTTGGTACCAAGAGGCCCAACATTTGCCAGACAATATCCCCCACACCCTTACACCACCAGCACCAGCCTGAACCGTTGATACAAGGCAGGATGGATCCATGTTTCATGTTGTTTAAGCTAAATTCTGACCCTACCATCTGAATGTTGCAGCTGAAATTGAGACTCATCAGACCAGGCAAGGTTTTTCCAATCTTCTATTGTCCAATTCTAGTGAGCCTGTGTGAATTGTAGCCTCAGTTTCCGGTTCTTAGCTGACAGGAGTCAGACCAGCCCGTCTGGCTCCAACAACCATGCCACATCCAAAGTCACTTAAATTCCTTTTCTTCCCCATTCTGATGCTCAGTTTGAACTTCAGCAAATTGTCTTGACCACCTCTACATGCCTAAATGCATTGAGATGCTGCCATGTGATTGGCTGATTAGCCATTTGTGTTGAACAGGTGTACCTAATAGTTTGTATATATACACAATGAACAAAATTATAAACGTAACACTTTTGTTTTTGCCCCCGTTCATCATGAGCTGAACTCAAAGATCTAAGACTTTCTCTATGTACACAAAAAGCCTGTTTCTTTCAAATATTTTTCACAAATCTGTCAAAATCTGTGTTAGTGAAGACTTGTCCTTTGCTGAGATAATCCTGAGGTGGATGGATTATACAGGTGTGGCATATCAAGATGCTGATCAGACAGCATGGGTACTCCACAGGTGTACCTTAGCCTGGCCACAGTAAAAGGCCACTCGAAAATTATATTATAATATATATATATAAAAATAACAGTCCTTCCAGCAATAATTTCAAACAAAGCTCACCTGTGTATTCATATCTGGCACAAGAAATATCCACTGTGGACTCCAGATCGACCCCCAACACGTCCCCGAGCCAGGAACGGAAACGCCCAAACAGTGCTGACCTGAAAATGTGAAATGCATTTCATTGTGCAATAGTGTACTGTAACGACACTAAAGTCACTACAAAGCTGACCCTTTACCCTTGTATAAGCCTCGCCACACAGACAGATTATTGGACTGCTCAAACCTACCATGACATTTTGTTGTGACATAAATAATAGATGATCACAAGAGGAGGCCGTTGTTGTGTATCTAACTATGGTATTTATTCTCCAGGGCTGTATTTCTTCAGTAGGTGTATCACTGTATAATCACATATACGTACATATACGTAAGAAATTAGATGTTTCTCCACCGTAACCACAGCATATTATAATCAAAGTGAAAAAACTACACATTATTTCTAAATAAAGGAAAGGCTTTATACATTATTTTGTTATGTGGGTCATGTAGGAGTCTCAAAAGGTTAGTTTCGATTCAGACTTGACACCCAACTCATGTTGGTCTTGATTTATACAATGAGATGTTCATTCTTCTTGGAAGTGGTTCAAACACTGAACCTGTATGCAGGTTTGGCAGCTCTTACTGCTCCATAAAACAGCTTTGTTTCTAGTCATTTGTTTGGACGCCCCTATATTTAGACTGTTGTAATACCTTACAGTGTGCTAGCCTTGTGTTCACAGCACTGTAACCACACTGGAGAAGACACAGTCTTTCTGCCTTAACAAGGAGCACCTTGTGCTCACAGGTGATTAACTGCAGCTGGATCCATTTTCCATTACGTTTACTGTACAGCCCTACCATACCAAATGTGACTGCTACCTTTCAGAGTCAACAGCACTTAATGAGGAAAACATACTAATTAGGAGTCAGATGTAATCTCTGGCACCACCTGGTGGAGTCCAAAACGTCTCATAATCACTTGGTCCGCTTCTTATGCTGCTCACATTAAACAACTTATTTTCAACTACTTAACAATGCAGACAGTGATGACAAATTCTCCCTTGCTGATTTCTAGATGTGAAAAGCAATTCCCTCAAGAGATCTCTTTAAACACTAAATCTATGTCAAGTCTCTTTGTTGAATACCTTTGCAATATGCCATGTGTGACTGCAACATGCTCTCTCTACTTGTTTCAAAGCAAAAGCTTTTAGAGGCTAAACCTTTGTTTAGACCTAATGTGTAGCACAAAATATACCCACACTGGGTTTACAACGCTGAAATCAGCACTGAGTAAAAATTTGGGATGAGACACCACATGAGTAAAAGTGGTTTAAAGTGAGGCAGCTCATTTTCTCAGACAGGAATCACAGTATCTATCAAAACGGACAACCAAATGTGCTTAAATGTGATGCTTTTCATTTTGTTAGGTGGGGAAAAACAGCAACAGAATAAGAATCCGAATAATGACCACCTAATAACATAAAAATGTGCTTTATGTTATGGCAGAAAATTGTGTCCTCTTACATTTAATCTTTTATATATAATCTTTTAATATTATTAGTAGTACCATTATTATTACTATATTATGTCTTCTTGATGTATATGTATTGTGTTTTTATCCCTGACTTTTATACGCCTTATATTAGTCTGTCCACATTTACTAGGGTTTAGGTCAGAGCTGTGAGATTGTTTTGGTGTTTTCTCCCTCTTGTTGTTCCTCTCCTCTCCTGGAATGTTCATTCAAGGCTGGGAGAGGATCTCTGTTTCCCAAAACATAGAAACCTAGACGTTCATCTCTCAGGGACAGCTGTAGATCAGGTGGGACAGCTGTAGAGATTAATTGCCGTATTGGCGGTTCAATACCGATTCTTCAACTAAACATAAGACACCAACTTGCTCCCCAAATTGTATGAAAATTGATTAATTGAGTCTACCAAAAGAACATAATGTGATGTCTATCAGAACAGACGAGCTGTAGTGTAAATGTGCATAAAAAGTACTTTTTTGGCTTGTGTCCTACCTGACAGAGAGCTACCTCTACTTGTAGCAGCTCACACAGAGAGCAGCTCAAATTGTCAAAACACCAACCATTATCCACACTTTATTTTCTCTATATTTACCCTTGTTTGCTCAATAAGTCTGTTGCAAATAAAATAAAACTCATGCCAACATATATTAGGACTGTCCAATACAGTAACCAAGCACAATAATACAAGCTATTTCCTACCTCAGTCCCGCAATATGTGGCTCCGTTCTCTTCCCCAGGTCATCTGACTGTATGGGAACAATGACAAAATGAAGCCAACACCACAAACCTCCTGAAACAAATCGGATCAGATCAGTTCGATAGACACCTGTTTAAATTTGTACAGATCGTTTGACTTCTCGTGGAAGTTGAGCTCCAGCAGTTCACTCTGCAGGTTCTCTACGAAGGTCTCGCTGGCGAGGAAGTTCCTGATGACGCAGTGAGGGAAAGGGTGGCAGTCCAACTCCAGATCCCCTGCACACAAATAACAAAAGATGTTCACTCATAACTCGCTTCTGCTTTTAAAAAGGCTCTGCTAAAGTCTCGGGGCAGCTCCAGCCACAAAATCTAAACTTAACTGGAGTGTTAAGAAACACGCTTAACAAAAGAAATATAATTTGGGCCCAATAAAGAAGGCTGACACACACAAAAGTTACATGATACAACACATACATATTTCATGTAAAAACAGAGAAAAAATGGTCCTCAACTCAGATCCAATTGTTCAGCATATTAGAATGAATCAATCAATATCAATAATAATCATGATAAATGTGAAATCCTTATTTCTTTCAAGTTTAAGGGCTGATTTTTGCTCCTGATTGAAAGTTGAAGAAACTAGACGATTAACTGTGTTTTGAAAATATTCTTTAAAAGGTCAGAACTAGACAAACACTTGCCAAACAGAAGAACATTTCGCCAATCTGAGGTTGAACATTCAAAATAATTATAATAATTTTAAAACAAGTGTCAGTGACTAAAATTAAGTAAAATCTTTTTTTCTGCATTTTTTCCATAACAAAATAAATACCTTATAAAAAAAACAAGTGCTGATTTGTTTTGCAATTCAAATGAATTAAATCCAATATTTATAAACATTTGTTATATTGTTATTGAGGAAAGTTATATCGCAATAAATATCATTACTGTTTTCTTGCCCAGTCCAATTAGAAGGCAGAGTAATATGTCAACTTAATAATGTGAGAGGGTGTAAATCTGTCTGCCATCAGAGATTATGTTGTAGACTTTTAATATCTCCAGACAATGATGCAAATCAATGAGCAGGACTGTTTGGTTACGATCCATCCATCGTCAACCGCTTATCCTGCATACAGGGTCGCGGGCAGTTTGGTTACGTTATCCATAAACAATTTATTTATTGATTCTTGAGAAAAATCAATATGTATTAATATTGTGATATAAAAGTACATATACTGTAGGAGTGGGTTTTATCCCTATCACCAAACCTACTATAAAGAAAACAATCACATTTAAACAAATAAAATGCAGACAATACCAAAATAACAGTAGAGACTGACCACCTGTCACATCTTTCTAAGTCGTTATTAAAATAGTGTCTTGCTGGACAAACTGTGGCTCAAACTAAAAAAAACACCACCAAAACAAAACCTAACGCGGTCTTGTCATGGGCAGCTGGTGATGGTTTCAGCAGCTTGATCAGCCTGGTTTTCTATGTGCATTACTTCTTCAAAAGGTGCAATGTGCTTTGCTGTTGTGTTTATGATTTAACAGTATTTCACTGAGTCAAAGAGCAACGAGCCGAGACAAACCAGGACACAAAGCTACACAAACACTAACGAGCTCACAGCTGATTTACCCTGACTGACAGATCTGATCTCCGTCTCTGACTCAATAAGGTCCGCTTCTCCTCCTCCGACTGTCACATCATTATTTTTGTGGTTGCTTTCTTCACTGACCCTGGCTGTAGTGAGTCCTCCGGCTCCATGCCTCCTTCACAGCTCTCGTCACCTGTCCGTCTTCTATAGCCGAACAAAGTTCAGCGGTTTCTTCGCAGTTCTTCTTCTTTTTCTTCTTCTCTGTTTTCTCACTCTCACCCGGCCGCCGTTTCGAGGCCATTGCACAAACTATCAGGAAACCGGGAAAACACGCAGTTTGTGAGGAGCTTTGACAGCATTCACATAAAATGTGTGCGGGTGTGAAACGGCCTGCTCGTCGCGGGTAAGTGACGTATTTAAAGTTGAGCCACTATACCCTGAGTTGAGTCTCCCAGGCATCATTGGAAAACTGACAAAAAAAACCCTTTCTATGTTAAATGTATCTTTACAAATTGATTGGACAGATAAATCTCATTCTTAATTCAGCTTTAGGGAAAGATAAGGAATTAAATATATATTTTCTTGATTTTGCAAGAAACAATGTCAGAAAAACTATGAAAGATATCACTTCCTTAAAGTAAACGGATAATGTACCTTATTAGTAAATGTTTCATAATACAGATTTAGTGAGAGACTACAGATCATCTGTTCCTTTAGTGTAATATCTTTGGTACCACTTGAACACACAAGTTTAATTGTAATTGTAATGTACTCGTTTGCACATTTTACAACAGAAAATGTTACACTTGGATTGCTTTTGGAGAACACTGGTGTTGAGTTTCTCATGAAGAATTTATTCTTTTTGCCAAGTTCAAAAGTGAAAGTGCAATCTTGCTTGGCTGCATTTAAGAAAGAAAACAGACTTTTCTCAGAGACGTATCATATATTTAACTGGTGTTTCACTGTATCATTTATTTCTTCTAGTTTATGTTTTCGTGTTCATTTCTTTCAACTCGCTGAGACAATCCAGTCTTTACTGTAGGAGTGCATACTCACACTCCCACTACTAAAGTCTGCAGAAATTAAGAATTACAAATGAAGTTTAAAGCAATAAACCTTTTTAAACTGCTGACTTTAACAATACTGTATAATAAAGTTGGCCATTGTGTGGCGGGATAACTCCATCATCCTGTTACCATAAAAAGGACAAGTGGTTTAGAGAATGGATCAATGTGTATTGTATCATACGCTCACACAGGCTACATTCTGAAAGTGAGCAAATTGTCAATTTTATTAACCTAAATATAAAAGACGGCCCAAGTGCATTCAGGGCCACAGAAATGCCTCTGCCTCGAGGTAATGTGTTTTTACAGAACGCCGTTTCATTACTCATACAGACAACATTTCCTCAACAAATCAGCATGTACGGCAGTCCGACACAGTGCGCTGCATTTCCAATTTTGTGTTGCAGTAAAAGACAACAGTGTCAATTCTGATTAGGACACAATCTCTGCCTGAAACTATCTGCCTTTCTTTTGGCAACTGTCTCCAACAAGAAATAAAAACATAAAACAAGTGAGCATATAAAACAGCAGCATGATCTTTCTGATACTGCTGTCTACATACCAAATAGTACATCTTTTTAAAGCCGTTTTCATTCACATGCAGCATGTTTTTGTTTTTTAAACATTACCACTTTTTGTTGTGACAATTTCATATAATAGCGCCTTCATCTCAGTCTTGAATTAACCAAAATAAAAAATCTCTTCCCAAAGAGCTTTATATTTACTTTGAAACCAGCCACTCACTTGCTCTTTGAACTTTATAAAAACATACTCAAAAGGACTGCTTTATTAAAAAGAGACAAAAACACAGCATTGTTACAGGTTAAAACAACAGGAAACTCAATGATGTAGTTTGTTTAATCAAACATTGGCCTCCTCTGAGGACATAAAATCAGATTCTTTGCACACTGGAATACAGACTTGGATACTACAAAAACTAGCAGTTTCCCAGGATTAAAAAAAAAAAAGACACATGACATTTTTCTTTTCTTCTAACAGTATAAACACCCCTGTGAACTGTCGATATACCTGACATGACAAGCTTTTCTTTCTTGTGAAAGTTGAGCTAAAGATGAGACGTGTTTTCCCGCTCATGTTCACTCAGACAGCACACCGCTGCACTCACAGAGACAGCCAGACGCACTTCTGCTCACTCAGTTAGTTGTAAATGAAGTTGAACCTATAAAAAGAAATGACCATTATGACAAATTCAATTAATGTTAAGAGACAAGAATTTTGGCATTGAATCTTTTAAATGATTAAAAATGTTTTAACAATAAATAACTGTATTTAAACCTTTTTCAGCATGTGTTAATCTGCTATCATGTGTGTAAGTCTCCTTTTGCTTCATGGCAAAAAACCTTTGCAGGTGTTTTGAGTTAATTAGCCGATTAGAACTGTTCTCAGGTCGACATTTCTGTATTTTAAATACTTTATTCTAAAATTCTGTTTTAAATATTTGACTTTCTTTGTAATGAATCTACAATATATGAAAGTTTCACCTTTTGAATTAACTTATGGAAAAAATTTTTTTTATGAATTTTCCATGACGTTCTAAATTGTTGAGATGCACCTGTATAAATAAGCTGTAGTGCAGGTTCAGTTACTGAATTTGGAGGCGCTTCAGTGTTGTGCTCATACACTTCAACGGGATGGATATCGAAAACGGTTCTTCAAACCAGAGCAGTAGTCTTGCCTCCCTCCAGCCCACAGCTGAAGGTTATACCAACAAGGGAGTGCTTTCACTGTGTAAACTGGTGTTGAAGAAACGTTAACCAGGTTGTTACATTACAGACATGAAGGAAAGATGCTAATTGATTAGAGTAAAAGTTACAGGTAGAACAGGGGTTGTCAGTAATTTACCATAACAGATGCTGGAAAAGGCCATTCATGTGAAAAAATAATGGATCCCAGCCCTTTACATTTGATTATGCCACCGTGATAATGAACGTAAAAAAACAATACATACACAATACCTGCTCAATAGCTGTGGTAGACTGGAAATGATTGGTCCATATCCAGGAGCGTTGTCATACAGTTCAAACAACGGCGCTGCCACCAGTTTGTAGTTCTTGGGGACGGCAAACAGTGCTGTAGAAACACGGATCACAGGTTTCAAAACAAGAAGCAATGATACAAAGGAACTTTTTCTCTCCTCTCATTCATACCTCCATCTACCAACTTCAATTATCATTATGGCCAAAACGATAATGACGATTATTTATCATGATTATTCTTTGATTTGCGGGACAGCATAATTTTATTGTACTTTCAAGTTTAAAAAAAAAAAAAAAAACAGGCAACTGCTTTCACATCCATGATGTGCTGCATTTCTGCTAATGTACAAATATTTGAGTATCAAAATAAGACTGGTCCTAAAAATGAGTCATCTCCTAGAAGCAAAATATAACATTTTTACCCGGAAAGTCCACTGAATACGACGACTGCGCCACGGTTTTGTCCCATCCTCTGCACAGTGTTTGCTTCCACTGGAAGCATGTCAGAAGCATTTCAGCAGCTGAGCGTATTGTTGGCTTGTTGTTAATTTGTCCTTTTGGTGCTTCTACCTATGGCTTCTACTCTGCTTACAAGCAACAGCTCTCTGCGACCCGGTTTTGTGCGGTTGTCTGCATATCCCACAGGAAGCATTTCAGAATCAGAGCGTTTTGCCTGCCTCATTTTGCTGACTTGTTTAGATTTTGTTGATTTGGTAATCAGTGCTTGCTTTTTGTGCTTCTTCTATGATTAAGTAGGATATGTAGAGAAATGGATATTTTTTTTGTTGATTTATGATCGCGAGTATTGCACAGGCTTTTTTTTTTTTTTTTAAATTGACCAGGTTCTCTATACCGTTCTGACTGACTGCCCAGTTTGATCTGCTCTGTGCAGCTTGACGTGGCTTCTGTCAAAAACAGACTTGTGTATTCTCCGCGGAGCAGAGCAGAGAGCTGCATCTGGCATGCTTCTGGGACTCCCAAGCATTGACTAGAAGGGCCGCGACCAACTCCGGCAGCCGCGGCGCAGCGGAAACATGTGGGCTCGTGGACTTCTACTCTGGACCGTAGCAGCAGGAGGGTGCGTTCGCAGCCAAATCGCCCCCTTTTCTACAAGTTTAGGAAGCGTTTGATTTGATATGCAAAATATTTCACGAATTACATTGTGATATACTGACCTTTTTCCTGCAACTGAACCAGGAATAGCTTCTTATGCTCCTTAGGTTTGGTGATGTGAGCTGGAATATAGGGATACTGCAAGACAAAAAACTTCAGATTAGATCACATTAGCACAGACAAACTGTATGTTAATGACCGATTGACTAAAAAGGCTTCAGGCTGGGATTCAGAGTGCATTTTCATGTTTTAGCTGGATTTATGAAGCATAATCTGCATGTTGTTGTAGTCAGTAACCTGTGTGTTTCTAGTGCACCATAACTTTACAAGTAAAAACTATCACATTGACAGACAGTGAGTCAATTTGTACACACAGATAATCCACTCAGACCAAACACCCTTTTCCACTATATTTGAGAATTTGACATTTACCTCACATTAGTTATATTGTTAAGTTAGCAATGACAGTGAAAGTAAGTCTCAAAACTGTATATTTAAATCTCATTTGTAATTCATAAAAAGCTATGTACATATACAGACTAGAGTTTGTGGACATATTTCAAACTTCAGTGACCACAGGTACGGGCAACAGGTGCCGACAGAGGCTGCTAAAACATTTAAATACTGAACTGTTAACGAAACACGGCTTTCAATTATAAATGTCTCTTAAAAATGTTCCTTCAGTTAATGAAATTCTCAGAACTTCTTACTATCCCTGTCATCTGTGTGTACTAACCTGTGGAGGCTCAAAGTTGGGGCGCCACCAGTTGCCGATACAGTCGTCAATCACCCAGTCCTGTTTCACGCCGTCCTGCCGTCCGAGGATCTAACACCCAAACAACAGTTAATGTGTGTCAACTCCCCAGTCACCACATCAACGAGAAGCTTAAACTGTGCTGTGATGTAGCTACCTCGGTCATCAGGCGTTTCAGACCCTCCACCTCATCTTCTCCAGGACTCAGCTCTCCGCCGGGTCTGCAGAAGAGAAGCAAACTTTCAGACGCCTGTTCATACTGCTGGTTCACACTGGAAGCCTCTGAACATTAACTACTCACAGTTTGAAGAACGTGGTGCCCAGCTGCAGAAGTAACACATGAGGCAGCCTGTGTTCATGGACAATGAGAACACCCTCCACTGTCCTCCGCATTCCCATTTTATCAAACTCTTCCCGCATCCGCTGGAAGCGAGCGGCCACGGAGCTGTCCTTCTCATACAGAGGCTCCTTGGTGCCGAACGTGTAGTTGGTAAGAGGGTATCTGAAGCAAAAATACGCACATGAACAGTCAATAAGCATCCAAGATCATCGCAGTGTTGTTCATACCTACCTGCTATAAAAAGTAATGCTGTGATATACAGTATAATAATAATAATAATGAATATTTACTGTTTTGTTTTTTTTATTCCATGAAATAAAAACAGAATGTATTTTCAAACAAGCAACTTCAACATGTTAACTTGGGATTTGATCACTATGTCTTGACATTTTATAGATCAAATCGAGTAAACCATTTATCAAGAAAAAAAAAAGATGGATTAATTGATTTGGGTTGATAAACAACTATTTGTACTAACGATTTAATCGGCTGATTATTTTCTTGATTAATCGTTGGGTACATAGACTGTAAATGTGTAATGTAACCAGGAGACCAAAAGCCAAATATATTTGGATTAATATTACAGAAAACAAACAAAAAAACCCCAGCATATTCCCATTCGGCTGAAGCTAGTGAATATTGGGAATATTTGCTTAAAATACGATCTATAAGCAAAATAGATGTCAATTTTCTGTCGATGGACTATTTAATCAATCAATTAAATAATTAAGTTGCAGCCATAATTATTATCATCTGATACGATTTTAGCGTTTTTCAAATTTCCCACTCCTAATATTCTTAGCTAACAAAACCTATAATATAGCCACACCACAGACGCCGATATGTTGCATCAAACATATTGTATGTGATCAATACCTCATAGCTCCAGCAGGGAGCTAACCACACGTTATTCGTGCAGGCATCAAAGACAATTAGCTGATTGAGCGCGTTAGATACGATTGATTTTACTGTCGGTGGAAGAAAATTAACCGGCACATCTTGATACTGATACGAGCTGCATGTGCATTGTGTGCCCCCATGAACTCACAGGTTGATGGTCCTCTCCAGTGTGAGCGGTTTAGCAGGCCCGGTGATGTATTTGTTCCCAAACTGAACGGCACCACCGCGCGGCCAGCCGGCGGACGAGCGACTGGGAGGCACGACCGACATCTCTAACGTGAGCACGACGAGGCGAAATCCTCCCGCAGATACAGCTCGGGTAGGTTTCGGTTTTTAGCTCGCTGGATTATCTAAATAACTTAACAAATTCTGAGGACTTCTGTCCACAACAATTTCTCTACCGTCGTTTCCCTCGGTCCGCCTCTTCCGGGTGAAGGGCGGTTTTGTGGCTGATCTCACCGCCAGCGACACCCGCTGGTCTGGATGATGCACATCAGTGGTTTACATTTATGTTAATGAAGATGGATTTTTACAGACGTGAGAAGTTTCTCAACCAGACCTGTTATACCTTGTCTGGTATAACGGTGTTAAGGGGGAGTTTCATATTAAACCTTTTTTCACTTCACATTATGCTGCACTGCAGGGAGCCACTAGGTCAATCTCCTGTACTACCATCAATCAGAGCACCTCAAGAAGCACAATTTAGTGTAAATGTTGAATTAAAGAGGACACAACTGCAACAGTTTTTTTGTTTGTGTGAAGGCCTAGTCTATAAAAAAATCTCTCTGTGCTCAAACTGTTGACACTAATTTCTTCCAGCAGATCTTTCATTGGATTCCCAGGATGTCTGTCAATCAGCATCAACAAGCATGAATATCTAATGTTTAAAAAAATCAGCATTTATTCATGATGAGCTGTAGATGTGCAAGAGGTAGGACATTATTATGAATTCCACTCTAGTTTTCACACAGACACCTGTCCCAGCCATGACAGAAGGAAGCCCTTCGTTACATCTGGCTTTGGCCAGTTGTCTTCAAGACTTATATAGTAACTTAAGTATTTGAATTTGTTGATACATGCAATTAAAAACATTCCAACTGCAAATTATATAATTAAGAGCATTTAGTTTGGATAAAAATGTCACTGCATTTCCTGAATGACCTCCATTTCAGAGTTTTGTTAAGGAAAGCTCTGCTGGGCACATATAATTTAACCCCCCGGTATAAATCAAACTATTTCCCTATGGAGCCATGGCTTAATAAGAGAAATATATGTATATGATAACATTTATGTTTAATATTGTACATGGTCGTGTTTACAAATATATGAAATATAATAAATAAATATTGTGTATTAACATTTTAAATCCTTCAAACATACATTAGTGTCAGCATGAAAGTTAATTCTTGAGCATGGAAACAGTTGTTTGACAAAAAAACTTAACTCAAGGTCTGCTTACCAGCTTTTTTGGAGCTTTTACTACTTTCACAATCTTCTTTGGACTTTGCTCAGGCTATTCGACCACCAAAGACCATTGTTGAACAGAGACAACAACAAATATAGCACCACCTGTCATAACAACTGAGCTATCTCCAAGGCAACTTAGGGAGGACATGGGCTCCAGAAAAAGTTAGCAAGTGTACCTTGAGTTACTTTGTTAGAAATAATGTATTAACACCTAAAAAAACGCAAAGGGAATTACTCAGTCAATTCAATATTCCATTTAATATTCATAACTATGTCTCTTATCCATCTATTGTAAACATGGTGTATTTTACCACAGTAGTTGTCTTATGGTACATAATCATACGTGCAATGCAAAAATTCAAACATAAGTTAAAAAAGGACAAAGACACTGCTGGATTTGTTGATTACATCACACCAAGGGGATCTCAGTTCTTTGGTCCAGTGGCCCACCCTTTGTGGTGTGCTGCTGTAATGTGGTGGTCCCTGTAGGAAGTGCCATGGAACATACCCCCCCCACCCTTCCCCCCCACCCTTACCCTTTACTGTGGTCTCTCCTGCCCCTGTCACAGTAGTTGGTCCCATATTTAGCAATTTCTTTATTTCTGATTTACTTCTCACTCACTGACTTGGTTTCGTCTTGTTTTTGATCTCCTACCACCTCCTCATCGCCCTCGCTATGCAGCGCACCATCTTTCCCTGATGTAGGTTCAGCCATTCCCACTTCTGTTTTCACTGTGTCTTCTTCAGGTTTCATACTTTGTTCCTGCGCTTGTTCCTTTATCACATCGCTGTTGACCGGAGCCGGTTTCTCATTTTTGCTCTCGCTCTCCTTCCCACCGTCCATGACTTTCTGGCTCTCATCCATCTCAGTTTGGTTGCTCTTTTTAACCATCTCAAGCTCCCCATCTGCTGTTTAGAGACAAAAATCACACACCATTCAACATACATCAACAAATATATACATATATAATATTTATATACTTACATATAGAACTTAAAACCTACCTGTGCTCTTCTCTGTAGGTTCTACACTGGATCTTTCTTCAGGAGATGTCTGTAAATCGTTATCTTGGCCTGGACTATCATTAGAGGGGGCTGAACTGGTCGAATGGTGACATGTAGCACTTGAGTTATCAGTAGTGGGGATGTCAGAGATAGTCGGTGTGAGGGCAGTACTGACATTAGTGTAAGGTGGGTCTGAGTCAGTCGGGAGTGGGGAGCTAATTGCAGTTGCGGCTGTTGAACTGGTGGTGGACGTGGTGTCTGCACGGTTTAAACTGGTAGTGGTGGTGGTGGTGTCTGTAGGGTTTGTTTCACTGGAAGAAGTGGAGGGAGCAGAGTTATCTGCGGGGCTAGAAGTGCCTGGGTGAGTAATGGTGGAAGGAGTCACAGAGTTCATGCAGTCGGTGGATGTTGGGCTTGTAGTGGTGGTGGTGGTGGAAGAGATGGAGCTGGTGGGAGGAAGGGCAGAGGAGGATGAAGTGATAATGGGTCCGTCAGGCGTAACTGGAGTTGTAATGGTATCACTTGAGTTCAGAGGTGGGGATGTTGTTTTAGTGACTGATGGAACTAAAGTTACAGAGCAAGCGGAGGTGACTGAAGTAGACTCATCACCAGCTTCAGGAACTGACTTGGTGGTAGTAGACAAGCCGGATGGCATATCTGATGTGCTGGTGGAGGGTGAAGAAGAAGAAGAAGAAGATGTAGTGATGACAGAAATAGCTGCATCAGGAGCAGCAGCAGCAAATGAGAGAATACCATCTGGCTCTGGGAAAGCCGATTCAGTTGACAGATGTGTTGATGCTGTGGAAACTGGGCTTTTGTTGCTAGGAGCAGAAACAGTTTCCGAGGTGGTAATGGAAGGCGCAGTTATTGTTGCTGAGTTGGAAGTGACAGAGAGGCTTGGAGTAATGGACTCAGAGGAAGTGGAAGTAACTGAGACAGTGGCGGGGGGCTCTGTGGGTGTAGTGGAGCTTGTATGGGTTGTCAGAAATGTGGCGGTGGGTAGTTCAGTGGTAGTGGCTTCAGGGATGGAGGGTTTGTTGTCGGGCTCTGTAACATTTGTGGGTGTTGTAGCTGCTGCAGTAGGGTTAACAGAGTCAGTGCATATATCGGTGTCAGAGGACGGTACAGTACTTGAAGGGGAAATTGTAAAATTGGTTGAGTCAGGGACTGAGTTTGAGATTGTCAGTACAGTAGGAGTGGTGGTAGCAGTGAGGGCAGGAGCAGCAGGGGTAGACGGAGCTGCAGTTGGACTCAGTTTAGTGGGCGTGTTTGTCTCCCCTTCCTGTATTTGAGCTAGCTCGTTCTCAGGAGTGTTGCGGCCGGATGTTGGAACCGGCTTGATAACTGGCTTTGGAAGCAGAGCAGGTTTCCCAGCTGACTCATGTGCTGACACACTTGGGCGAATCTGATGCCTTGTATCTAAAGGGAAAAAATGTATGTGCAAATTATTTATCGTACACATGTGAGAGAGTGAATCAGTGTTTGTGTTGGTGTTTTACCTGACGACGCCGACATTGTTCGAGGTTTTGTGAAAGTAGGTGGTGGCTCAGGTTTACTGTCAATGATTGTTCCTGAGGTACAAAGATAATTTACATCTTATTTTACCACAGGAGTTAATTCACTATTATGTCCCTATAATAAAGAATAATGAAGAGCCTAAAGAGATATTAAATATTTTTTAATGGAGAACTGATCCATGTCAGAAAGTCTCTCCTTTTGATACAAATCTCTCACCTTCAAAGATTAATTTTGCTTCATTAACACTGAGCTGGAGCAGAGAAGGTTTTAATCATATTAAACATCAAACAGATAAAGGAACATACCTTCAGATTCTGCTTTTTTCATCTCTCCCTCCTGATTCTACAAGATTAAAAGAGGTATTTTAAACACAGACTCCTACAGTATACATATCTAAATTCAGGCATACACACTCACACACCTGTGTCTCTCCTGGTTGGGCTTTGGAAACTCCAATACGTTGAAGCATGAGATGGAGTTTCTGTTCAAAGCTATGTTGGCCTTCGAATTGTTTCTGAAATCATGAACAGCAGAGTAATGAATGCTTCTCAAAACTTATCTTCTGACCTAAATATGACTTAAACTCTACTCACCTTTGTAGTGTTTCTGGCATTAGTGGTCCCCGCTGCTGCTGATCCAGAGAGCAAAATGAGAGACTGGGACTTCCCCTCTCTGAGAGCTCGGCGGGGAGGCACCCCTTCAGCCCTCAGCGGCGGAGCACCAGAAACAGGTGTCTCCTGAACAGCTGACTCTCCAGCAGCGTTGGGATGCTCTTTCCCTTTCTCCTTTTCATTTTCCTTGTCGTGTTCCTTCACTCTGTCCTTATCTTTTTCTTTCTCGGCTCTGGCGACCTCCCTGAGCGGGCGGATGAGATCAGCGATGGAAGCCTTTTTGGGACGCCCCTCGTGGCTTGTTTCTGATTTCAGACCTCGCCTCTTTTTGAGTGTAAAGAAATCGCCAAGCTTCCTCCTGAGTGTTTTCGTCGGGGGTGGACAAGGGACAGAGCTCGCAGGAGCCACTTCGTGAACCGTGATAGATTCCTCATCTTGCTTTTTTCTATATGAAGGATCATATACTGTATATCAAATCACTACTGTGCGGATTCGGTTCTAAAGTATCGCAGTATTGTTAGTATCTACATTAGCTAAATATCAAGGAACTATTAACAGGCTAGTGTGGCAGCCGGTGATACTCACAGTGCATCTGTAGGAAGTACTCTCTTAGTAAAGAACTCTTCAACTCCTTCATCCACCCTCCCCATGAGCTCAAGGACTTCATTGTCACTCTCAATTATGGTCTCCTAATTACCACACACATGCACAGAAAACACATTTCACACCAAAAGATCAAACAAAGTGATGTTGCGGAGTAACATAACTTTACATTACGTAACCCTCACCTCAGGAAAAACCCACACACTCTGGCACTAGTGTTTCTTTAGGTGTATTTTGGTTTGAATCTCTCATCCAGTTATGCTACAAACCAGCCTCCTGGGAGTCAGTTGCTCAGTAACATGCAATGGGGGGGCGTCGCTGGATTTTACATGCGGAATGAAAGCAGGATAACTCATTTTGCCAGTGTAGGTAATGGGATATTTAAATCGCAGCTATACAGTGTTTCATCATCCTGATTATATTAACATCTGTGTCCACAAGAAGCAGCCAGGAGGTTGACTGCAGGACACAAATTTTGCAGAAGTCACCGTTACATGATATCCTGTCGGGGGAATTGCTTGAATTTTGTCTCCCTGGGCCATTGGCTCCAAGGGAGTGACTGTATGTCTACAGCCCAACGGCTCTGTGACAACATGATCAGCTCAGTGGAAAATGGAGATGATCACACACACACACTCTCTACATTTTGATAAAATCCTATGACAAAAATAAAAGCCACTTGCTTTTTCCGGTGAGAGCACAGGAAGACATTCAGACAAATACCAAGTGTGGGTTCTTCAAACAGCCGGTGACCGGTACAATGGGACTGCCTTATTCAAGCAGGGTTCAGGCATCTTTCACAGCACTCCCCTCTGTCCTTCCCTTCCCCCTGCCTCTCCCCTCTGTACCCTATTGCATCTCTCCTCTCTTCCTCCCATCCATTTTCTCTCCTCACACACACAACACCTTTCCCTCACACTCCATTTTTACAAAACCCCTCTGATCCTCCTTCACAATACCTGCGGTCTGCTGGGACGATAGTTCAGTTTTTGTCGGTGAGGTCTCGGTCTGCTCTGGGTGTAGTGCCTGAGCGCTGGTCCGCCCAACGGCAGCTCCATTGGGGAGACACGGCACGCTGTTGCTGAGGCACGGTTGCTAAGAGCAGGAGCACCAGCAGTATGTAATGCGTCCACCAAGGTGGGAGGGGCCAGGCTAGCTAGACTGACAGATTTGACAACAGAGCCTCGCCTTTCTCTGCCCCCTCCCCTCAGAGAGGAAAACCATGACAAAAAGATGGAGATAAAATAAGAAGAGGCAGAGAGAGAGAGAGAGAGGAATATTGTGACCACACTCACATTTGTTTCATCCATGCACCCTAGCCTGTGACACGTTCATATACATGAATATAAACTGCATTGGAAAATATAGCTGAAATGAACAAAATGTTCTGGTTATGTAACAAATTAATAATTTATTTCATTTGCGGAAAGATGCTCTGAAATGCTGTACGTGACAGACCAACCTGAGAGATCCTTTTATCACTGAAAAAAGTGTACAAAAACAGAGACTGTCAAAGCGAGATGTATTACCAATACTAGACATCCTAAATAGTCCAGAGATGACCTTGATAATGAGCTGTGACACTTGATCAGAAACCATAAAATAACACACAGGCACCCCCTGAGGGCATGAGTTTCATGGGAATTGTGTTGACTAATAGGTTATTTAATATTCAAACCAGGCAACTCACTTTCTGGTGTGAAACACTTTGATATTTGTAAATGTATAATTTACTCTGCCTTTATTGATTAGAACATGCTTTATATCATTCACATATCGATTTATTATTGTGATATTATTGTGTATTTTAGATAATTGGCCAAACCTATGCACCTTTGTTTTCTCCATCTTTCTGAATGTATTTACATATTACATTACATATATATGTTGTCTTTCTGAGCAGTTAATGCTCAACCCAACAGAACCACCCAGAAATAACATGTTTTCCACTCAGGAACCCATGTCAGGTCTTCCATGTGCAGCAATATGACATCAGCTATTTTAGCGTGAAGGTGCAGATGTAATTTTTAGTTAGTTTTTGATGTGTCTTCATGTTAATTAGATATTGACTATGCTTGAAAAAAGTCAAGCTCATGATCAGTTTCACTGAAGAAACATACTTCTAGACCTCCAGACAGCAACAAAAGCGCCCTGCCAGACTTGAACCAGGGATGTTGTGATTGATGGTCAGTGCCATTAAACTCCAAAACCGCCATCTGGGGCCATGACAGACAATCTGCAAGGACTGGGGTAACAGGGGCCCAGCAGCTCTTTTCTTCCTCCCAGCAGTTTAATCTGTCCATGGTAATATCAGGATTTTGTTCAGTAGGCCTATCAGTTTTATTTTATAAAATGCGGGTTGGCAATCCAATATGACTAACAGGTGATTATCTGGATGTAAAAATACAATCATCGAGCTACACTCTGACACAATTATATATCAAAATCCTTTAGCATAATGTATAATCACGACTTTCTGTGCTGTGAGCTTTGGTTGTGAGGCCCGCCCTAAACCTACGACATCCATACTGCCCTCTTGTGGCTGATCTTAGGAATTTGCTTTACTCACAAAACTACTCGTAGGCCCGAATTAACAGAGACTAGCAGCAGGTGTTTGAGGACTAGAAGTCTGCCCTTCTGGTCAGAAAACTAATAAATAATCTCTCAACTCTATCGATCCTCACCGTCGTGTTTGCGGACGCCACGCCCACGCCAGGATTCAAATCTGGCGCCCATTATCACTGCCACAGCTCGGCCACTCCCCTTTACTCCCTCGGGTGCTGTGTTTGCGCAGCCGCGTTAGCGCTTATTGGCCGCCATTTTGTGTTAGGCCCACTCTTCTAAAGCGGGAGAAAATTATTAGTCCGGCGCTCGGCACGTACGGACGGTCACCGCGGGACTGAAGGGAGCAGCCACAGACGCCGTGTATCCAAGAGAATAAAACGGGGAAAAGAAGCAGCCGGGAGTAAGTGAAGCCGTTACTTTGCCTCCGAACACGGAAACGTTTTTGTAGGAGCCGTCGCCGGCCTCTAGGTGTCACGGTAGGGCTTACCGGCCAGGCGGCTGGCGGGGGGTGTTTGTCTCCCTCTATCGTTATCCAAAATGCAGTAAATCCGTCTATAAACTGTAACTCCACGTCTCAGTTGAGCGCCTTGGTGCTTTTCGGGTGATATTTTGGGGTATTTGCACAGGGATGGTTGTATTTATGAGCATTTCTGTTTAAACTTTGTTCAGGCCTGACGTCCATCTTATCGTGCCCTTTGTTTCCTGTTTTCAGACGCGCCTCTCGAGTTAACAACCAACTCACACGAGTTGACGTTTTACGATAAGTAGTTTGTATCGTTTTAACAAGGTATCATGTTAAGACTTTGAACTGATAACGAAATGTTACAAAAGTACCTTTTTTTAAGTTAGCGGACGACTGACCGAATCATTGATTGATCGACTAATTTGTACAGTCAGCTCATCAATGTCTAAGTTAGTCAGCACAACAAGGCGTAAACTGACACTTCCTTAAAAGTTTACTTCACTGTTACTGCAGCAGGGTAATATACGATAAACTAACGTAGTGTAGAAGGCACGGTATACCACGTTGTGCTTCGTTATATTCACCGTGGTGTATTATGGGACGTGCTGTAGATCAACGCTCGCCATGGCAGATCCGATCTCCATATGGCACTTTATAGTAGCTCCAGTGCATTAAATATCATTTAATATAAAGTGTACCCCATTCTGCCAACGCAACGTGCAATCACCTGTTTGAACTTTTAAGCTCCTGCACTTGTGAACCGGTACATCAAGTATTGACAATCCAAACTGCAAAACCTTGGGGTCTTAAGTCAGGCACGAGCAATGTATTAGTTTATTAACTCAATAAATGCTAAACTAATCAGTGCCCCCTCCCTTTTAATGATCTTTCAAAAGGTCAAGTCATCAAAATAACCACCCCAGTAGAGGTGAAATGAAATGCGGTTTCATTTGTAGAGCTCACAGTATTTGAAAGACTCTTGTTGTCTGCAAACTCCACTCACAGTTGTCACAATTGTTGTCTTTCCATGAAAACTGTTAAATTGAGCTTTTCGACCCTGTCCACTCTCTCTGTGTATAGATGTGAGCGCCCCCCCACATTATGTTGATGTTTATGCCATTATTCCGTTAACATTTGAATCTTGGCCTTTATATATGATATACTTTTCTTACTCCCTGTTGGTTTAAGTCACTGCATCATGGACCGTGCGCTATGTAGCGTTATGAAAAATTCACCGACTGCTAAGCCCACACACACACACACACAGAGAGGCCCCTGGTGGCCCATCCGCCCCCCCCAAAGCGGTCAACCAAACACTGCATTGCTGTCCTCCTCTTGCTCTTTAAGATGCTGTTTAAAGTTAACAATGTTGGATTACTATTTATTATTTCATGGACTATTTTGGATATTGGGGTAATGCATGTAAAATAATAACAATTTAAAAATAAAAAATAAATGCATGATGTTTCCCAAGTCAATGAGAAATTGTGTTAAATAATCGTGATCTCAACATTGACCAAAATAATTGTTGATTGTGATTTCTGCCACAGTCGAGCAGCCCTAATGTGAAGTAAACTAAATATGTCCCACTTTTTTAATGTCTTCTCTATTAAGGGTGTCAGTTGGTTTGCGCCATGGAGGGCGAAGTTGTTTCCATCGAGACCGCTCAGACTGCTGCCCTGGCTGCTGATGGAAAGGTCCTGCAGGAGGGTGGAGACGCCTTGATACAAGGGGCAGCCATAGCTGCACAGGGGGGTGTGACTGGTAACATGGAGATGATGGTGATGGACGCTCTCGATCCAACCCTTCTGCAAATGAAGACGGAGGTGCTGGAGGGCGGTGGCACAGTGACTGTTACTGGTGGAGATGAGGGTCAGATAATCACGCTGCAGGTTTGCCTCTTATCACAGTCTAATGAGTTAATGTTGGATTATCAGTCTCATGCCTAGACGTGAAGTGTTTTTGTCACTTGAAGTTGAAATGGTTCTTTCTTCTGTGTAGGTGGTGAATATGGAGGAGCAGACAGGAGCTGCGTTAGGTCTTGGGCAACTTCAGCTGGTGCAGGTACCTGTCACAACAGCAACCGTTGAGGGGCTCCAGGCCACCTTTGTTGATGCATCAGGAGCCAACAAGGACGCCGAGCCGGTTATCTGTCACACTCTTCCCTTGCCCGAGGGCTTCCAGGTGAGAAATGACACTGGACTGCAGTGTTTCCCCTATATGATTCAGGAGCAGTGATGTGCCTCTACTAAAATTTCCCATGATCATTAAATTATGCGCTTACAAATGTTTTCAAGTGCACACTGTGCAAGCACAGCAACACTCAGTGCTCGGCTAGCTTCCTCTCATCGTTCTATACAAAACATCTATGTGACAGATGCTGTTATAACAGCAGCGTAGCTCCTGTAAGGAATCAGGAGGTGCGTAGCGAGTGTTTGTTTATCCGAGCGGCAGAAAATATTCTGGCCTATACATGTCAGAGGTTGCATACCTCTGGAGCAACTAGGGGTTAAGTGTCTTGCTCAGGGACACATTTGGTAGATGGGTCACAGTGGGGGATTGAACCCAGGTCTCTCACACCAAAGGCATGTGTCTTATCCATTGCCCCATCACCTCTCCCCTCCCCTTCCCTTCCCTTCCCCTTCAGACTGCACAGCTGAGTAGGAAAGCTTCTACAGTAGGCTGCGTCTTTTGGCTGCTATGTAACTCAACATTAGCTCAATTTATGGAAAGTAACTGGTCTCTGTATTTTATTACTGCCTACTTGTCCAATGTTGAGAACATCAGGTACAAACTGAGAGTAAACTGGCGTAACCTTCATCTCTGTCCTGTACAGACTGATATGACTATTTTTCAGATGAGTCTGAAAAAGGGGTTGTTAGCAAAAGAAAGGACAGTGGTGATTGGAGGAGCTGACGTCGGTAAAGCTAATTAGTGATGCAAACTAGTCCTTTTTAGCTAATGAGGAGACATTTCTTTTTGGATTTTAATGTGCAAATAAAATGCATCTCAGAAGGGAGGAGGTTTCTCATGTTGTCTTTTTATATTATGTCAAAAGCTGTAAAATGAAGACACAAAAGACAAACATGAACAATCCTACCTATAATGATTATGAGGTCATATTAACAGGGTTTTCCTGCCATTAAGGCTTAGGGGGTGATTCCCGAAACATGCTGTGCCATAAATGTTAAATCAGTGTGGAGAGCATCATAACCAACCAAATTACTTTCCCCAAATTTAATGGTTGTAGTTCCTCCCCAGTAGACTGATCTTTATTATTATCTGCTCTAGCTTTTCCAACTCTTTGTTCAGAGATATGGTGAAAATAATGTCCCAATATGATGTGAAATTACATATTTTTCATCGGAAAATGTAAAATTTTCTTCGGGGAGGACTCCCAAACCCCCTTGACCTCGACCAACACCAAAACATTAATCTAAACCTCATGTTAAACTGGGAAAACACTGACATTTTTAGTTATTCTAGGGTGCATCGCATGCTCATGGGCACCAGAGCAATGTTGCTGAGACACGTGTTGGGTTTTTATATTCAGACGAAAAATCTGCTTCACTTCCGCTGCTAGGGGAAACACTGGACTGCTTTAATGTCTTCAACTTGGCATACTCTCCTCTGTCGTTATCTGGTCACAATTAGATGAATTTGTAATGTGTTCTTTCTTAGGTGGTAAAAGTGGGTGCCAATGGTGAAGTAGAGACTGTAGAGCAGGAGGAGCTCCAGGCAGCCCACGAGGAGCTTCAAGGGACGAGGGGAGAGGAGGAGGAGGAGGAGGAGGAAGCGGAGGCAGCAGAAGTAGAAACCACTGTGCCTCAGCAAGAAGACCCAGAATGGACCAAAGACCCAGACTACCAGCCCATCACCACTGTCCGTAAAGGAAAGAAGGGAAAGAAGAGCCGCCTGCGATACGGGGAGGGCGATCGCGACATGGACGTTTCTGTGTACGACTTTGAAGAAGAGCAGCAGGAGGGGCTGCTGTCAGAGGTGAATGCTGAGAAGGTTGTGGGCAACATGAAGCCACCAAAGCCCACAAAGATCAAGAAAAAAGGTTAGACTTGAACACCATTTTTCAGACTTCTAAGTATCTGAACATATTGGTGAAAAAGACAGATTCCAGATTGTGGTTTGGTGGTGTGACGTTCCTCCTTACAATCTGGTGTAGATCTGCATTGCTTTAAATGAACTGATTTTCTCCCTTTTGTGTCCAGGTGTAAAGAAGACTTTCCAGTGTGAGCTGTGTAGCTACACCTGTCCAAGGCGCTCCAACCTGGACCGACACATGAAGAGCCACACAGACGAGAGGCCACATAAATGTCACTTGTGTGGACGAGCCTTTCGTACAGTCACACTGCTGAGAAACCACCTCAATACACACACAGGTAATGCAAAAGCCAATATTTAATTTTGATAACTAAAAACACAACATTACTATGGTTAAATCTACATTCTCACTTCCTTCCATTTCTTTAGGCACTCGGCCACATAAGTGCACAGATTGTGACATGGCATTTGTGACCAGCGGTGAGCTGGTGCGTCATCGTCGTTACAAACACACACACGAGAAGCCCTTCAAGTGCTCCATGTGCGACTATTGCAGCGTGGAGGCAAGTAATTGCATGTTGATCTGTGTTGATTACTTACCAAATGTGTAATTCTCCTCCCTAAGATGATTAGGGATAAGTGCTTATTTTAATATATTTGTTTCTCTATTTTTCAGGTGAGTAAGTTGAAAAGGCACATCCGCTCTCACACAGGGGAGCGACCCTTCCAGTGCAGTCTGTGCAGCTATGCCAGCAGAGACACTTACAAGCTGAAGAGACACATGAGGACACATTCAGGTAACATACTCGCACAGTCCACTGGCCCAAAGATGGTTTACCCTCTGTTTGAGAAGAGGACCTCGCTTACTAAATTCCCTCCTCTTTGTTGCAGGGGAGAAGCCATACGAGTGCTACATCTGCCATGCCCGTTTCACACAGAGCGGCACCATGAAGATGCATATTCTGCAGAAACACACGGAGAACGTGGCCAAGTTCCACTGCCCACACTGTGATACTGTCATCGCACGCAAGAGTGACCTGGTTAGTTATGTGTTTCCATTTTACTTTTTTCTTCAAGCCTGGAAACGATGACATGTCAAGAGAAATCATGTTACTTCATGTTACTTAAACTTTATAAACTTGCTAGTCCCGGGTGGAGTATTGGTGTATCCTATTGAAATATAGTCGTTGTACAGAGGGGAATTGGAAGAATGTATTTATCCACAGAAGAGGCCAGAATAACGTTTGCCAAACCGATTTTTATGTCTTTTGCAGGTGTTCACTTGCGAAAGCAGCACTCATTTATTGAGACGGGAAAGAAATGCCGTTACTGTGATGCTGTGTTTCATGAGCGATACGCTCTCATCCAACACCAGAAGACTCACAAGAATGAGAAGCGTTTCAAGTGTGACACAGTGCGACTACTGCTGCAGACAGGTGTGTGTGTGTGTGTGTGTGTGTCAAGTGGAATATCAAGCACTGTGTTCATTTATTTTCATGCTAAATTACTATTTTTCTCTGACCTATTGCCTCCTAGGAACGCCACATGGTAATGCACAAGCGTACGCACACAGGGGAGAAGCCGTTTGCCTGCAGCCAGTGTGAGAAAACATTCCGGCAGAAGCAGCTTCTGGACATGCACTTCAAGCGCTACCACGATCCCAACTTCATCCCCACTGCCTTCGTCTGCAGCAAGTGCAACAAGACATTCACACGCAGGGTAAGACTGAGCTCTGAGGTTTAGCACACACATGCACCAGTTGTATTTACTGTATGTCGCTGAGTTGTAATGGTTGCGTGTGCTCCACAGAACACCATGCTACGCCACACTGAAAACTGCATGGGTGAAGTTGTTGAAGAAAATGGAACTCCCACACCCAAAAAAGGTCGCCGGGGCAGGAAGAGGAAGATGGCCAGGAGGGATGATGATGGTGACACAGGTATTCCATACATAAGATTAGCATAATTTTGTGTGGCAGCCCCTCAACTTGACATCAGAATAGGTAAAATAAGCCTATTTATCATTAACCTAGCTGTAAAAAGTTGTCGAGGTAAACTGTGAAGTTAAATCACTTTACAGAGATTTATTAGTTTCCAAGCAATCATCACTGTCCTGATACAGTTTTGGTTTCTGGAGATTGTACAAAAATTTGGAGAATAAGATGTACACGGCCAGTCGTATTTATCACTACAAGCTGGCACATAAAACCCAACCTAGATGCAAATCAGAAGTTTTAATTTGAGGTATATAACCAGCAGCCCATAAGATAAAATGTTATGTCAAAATTGAATTCATCGGCTTGATGCC